AGAACTAGAACTCTGCAGTTCTTTTATATGGCATATGTTTTGTATATATACCCTTTAAATTTTTTCTTATTTATTTGTTTATGTTAATGCTTATTTTTGAGAGAGACAGAGACAAAGCATGAGCAGGGGAGGGGCAGAGAGAGAGGGAGACACAGAATCCGAAGCAGGTTCTGGGCTCTGAGCTGTCAGCACAGAGCCCAACGTGGGGCTCAAACTCACGGACTGCGAGATCATGACCTGAGCTAAAGTCAGATGCTTAACTGACTGTGCCTTCCAGGTGCCTCTTTCTCAGTTTTTTTTCTGAAACTAGGTGGTAGGATATAGATAAATAAAATAAAACTATTATCAAAGTTGTGTGCTCATACTCATTCTTTTGGTTACAAGTACGAGAAACCAAGAAGTAAATGGATCTTGCAAAAAAGGCAGGGGATAGGTGATAAAAATTGGAAGGATTCTGAAAATTTCCCAGAATCCAATTCTGGTGTGGGTCCCTTAGTTTGAAATTCAGAGAGAGAAACACACACAGGGAGAGAGAGAGAGAGAGAGGAAGGAGACGAAAGCTGTTATTCACTCTATTCCCATCACCTTCAGCATCTTCCTGCCTTACCTCCTGTCCAAAGTCTACCTGTTTTTCAAGATCCAACATAAACAGGGGCTCTTGGGTGGCTCAGTCACTTAAGTGTCTGACTTCGGCTCAGGTCATGATCTCACAGTTTGTGGGCTTGAGCCCCGCATCAGGCTCTGTGCTGACAGCTCAGGGCCTGGAGTAGCTTCAGATTCTGGCTCCCTCTCTCTCTCTCTCTCTGCCCCTCCCCTGCTCGGACTCTGTTTCTCTCTAAAAGATAAACGAACATTAAAAATAAATCCAACATAAACATTGTTTTCTCTATCAAAACTTTTCTGGAACCTCATCTAGATATAGTCTCTTTGTGTGTTTTAGTCTCAGTACTCTGTGTGTGCCTGTCTTACAACCCTTAAAAAATTCTGCATTGTGCCGTAGTGTCCCATAGCCCATAGGGAGGGACTGGTATTCTGTCAGGTAAATTCAAAAGTAGAGAATCCTTTATATGCATTCCTAGTGCTTTATTATTATTATTTTTAATGTTTTATTTATTTCTAGGAGAGAGAGAGAGACAGCGTGAGCAGGGGAGGGTCAGAGAGAGAGGGAGTCACAGACTGAAACAGGCTCCAGGCTCTGAGCTGGCAGTCAGCACAGAGCCCGACGCGGGGCTTGAACCCACGAACCGCGAGATCATGACCTAAGGGAAAGTCGGACGCTTAACTGACTAAGCCACCCAGGCGCCCCGCATTCCTAGTGCTTTAAACATTTTACCTTAATAGTTAAAATGTACATTTAACTACCATGTACATGTGGGACAAGGACTTTGATTTCAGTATAGTATGCTGACTGAGCATCTGCTTTCTCTTTTTTGGGAAAATTGTGCCCTTAATCCAGTTTAGATTTACAATTTTGGCTTCTTAGAAAAGAGCAAGAACTCAGATACTGAAGCAGTAGGAATGCAGAATCCTAGACTTTCCTGTTTCTGTTCTAGTCTCATGTTAATTTCTCCAGTCCCTACTTCGACAGTAGTTTTTTTTAGCAACTTACTTTTATATCAAGACTTCTCAAGGCATTAAACCTGGTTTTCATAGAAACATCTCCTTCCCCCATATTTATAATTAATGAGATTACATAATATATAATCAAACTGCATAATTACTAACAGTAAAACAGCATAAACAAATTCTAATATAGTTAGAGCAGAAGTGTGTGAGAGTACTAGAGACAAACCTAACTACCCACTGTGGGCGAGCTGTGGGCATACGTCACTGTATTTAAAAGAGGGGACTTGAGAGCCTTGGTAATCTAGAAATGGGGTAAGTGGAGGTCTAGTCTAAGTGATTCTGGTGTTGGGGTACCTGGGTGGCTCAGTCGGTTGAGCGTGCAATTCTTGGTTTTGGCTAAGGTCACTATCTCATGGTTTGTCAGTTCAAGCCCTGTGTCAGGCTTTGTGCTGCTGATGTGGAGCCTGCTTGGGGTAAGTGATTGTGGTATATTAAAATAATTTTTTATACCTGTCTTAGCTTCCCACTAGACCCGCAGCTCTCAAAATGTGATCTGGAAACTTTTGGGTAGAAGGATTCCTGAGACCCTTTCAAGGGGTCTCTGAAATCAAAACTATTATTCATAATAACACCAAGGCTTTTTTGCCTTTTTCAATTCTGATTTTCTAAACATTCCTTAGTTTAATTTCTAATATGATCAATAGCAATAGATTAAACTCACATAAAAGCTCTTTGGGGGCCCTCAGTACTTCTTAAGAATATATGTCAGAGAATCATTTGAATAGCTCCTTGAGGACAGGAGTCCTGTTTCATTTATTTTTGTTATTACTGATGCATTTCAGTATTTATGGTCTTTTAAATTGGACCAACAAAGTGGTTTGGTTTTGTTTTTTTAGAAAGAGAGGGAGAGTGTCTGGAGAGGCAGAGGGAGAGAGAATCCCAAGCAGGCTCCCTCCCAATGTCTCAAACTCATAAACCGTGATATCATGACCTGAAGAACCAAAGTCAAGAGTCAAGTACTTAACTGACAGAGCCACCCGTGCACCCCCAACAAAGTGGTTTTAAGTAAGGTTTTCTTGTATTAATGAATATGATCTTACAGATCAGTGGTGTGCAAGTGGGTGCTTTCAAATGCCTTTAAAATAATAATGCAATATTTAAAGCATGGTTAGTGGAAAGAATATGAAAACATTTTCCTATGAGGCTTTAAAGTGTGTGTGAAGGCTTTAAATCTTGCTTAGGAGGCCTTATCATAAGTAATTGGCTTTTTAAATTGTATTTAAGAGGAGAAGGAGAATGAGCTAACAGAGATGTGGGGTTATTTAAGAGCAGCCAATCAGTGGGAAAATTCATTGCTGATGATTAAGACTTTTCTTTCACTTGAGAATCACTGGAAAGCTATTTTAGGTTTGAAAAGGGGATAAGATGGACAGGAAATTATGGTTTGGAGAAGTGAATTTTTTTGCTTTATGAGAGTGACCTTGATTAAAGAATAGTGATGAGCATAGTGGCCAAGTTGAAATAGGCAGCTGCTTTGGATACTTCTTACCCTTTTCAGGTATTATATGGAGAACATTGACAGCAGAATCCTTTAACTAAAAATTAAATTCAGCCTGTTGACCTGCGGCAGATACTGCTAAATAAGTGGGGAGTATTAACAGGTAGCTCTTTTAGTATTCAACATTAATAGACACATGGATATAAAAGTGAATTATTTTCAGGGATGGTGGGGTATTCTAAATTTGTTTTTTAAAAAGGATTGATTTATGTTTCAATAGAAACATAAGCACGTAAGGACTTTCTTATGCACTTCAGATACTTTATACACAGGAATTTCCCAAATCTTGGTATTGTTATGACAGTAATTGTTCTAGATAGAATGTTCATCTTCAGTGGAGAGGCAAACTCAAATATAAGATTTTGGAAATTCAGATTTTTAACCTCAATCTTTCTAAATTGATAAGAGGAAATTATTTTTAGACATTCAAATTTAATATGAAATATTTATGGCTTTATTTCCTTCTTCACATATGTTGGTATAAGGTAGGCATGCTTCTCGTCATTGCTTATTCCAGACATTGTTAGTCTGTACTTGAGATTTGTTGTGTATATTTACACTGAGGGACTCTTCAACCACTGAATTATGCCTGTGTTCACAGGTTAGGGACTACAGTAAGGAGTCTCCTGGAATTTGAAGACAAAATCAAGAAAAGTCACCATAAGGAAGATTTTCTAATATAAATCATGTGGGTGTGGTACTGTCTGCACCCTACATTTTGGTCAGTTTATCTGTCTCCCTCCCAGTGAACTGTATGTCTCTTGAAAAGAGTACCATTTCTTAATCACCTTTGATTCCAAATGCCTAAATGGTGCCCTTTACCTAGTAGGCACTTAGTTCATGTTAGTGGAGTGCATGAAGTCACTCACCCTGAAGAGATGAATCATAAATTCATTGCTGATGAGCCACAGGATTTCCTGAATTTCTTCTCAAAACCTGGGTGAATTTTCACAGAGATAAGACTGAACCATAACTTCCTAACCATAGTCATAAATTTCCAGACTGTAGGAAAGCTAGTGCCATCAAGGGAGAGTCATATATGTACTATCAAATAAAAGAAGGGCTGTAAGTGACTCTACAGCAATCTTTGGTGCCTGGTAGTCATGTAGTAAGTGCTTAACATTTGTTTACTTTTTCAGTTTCTCTTGAATTTTGTGTCAGGGTCACTATAAGAATTCTTACAAATGGTAGGGAAATTTGCCCTTTTGTTTGGACAGATGTCTGTAGCAGTTGAAGCTCTAATTTGGATACACCCAAGTTAATAATTCTGCTTAAAAATCAAAGTCAGAGCAACTTGCAGGCGGAACTGGTACACTGTATAACCTGGACAATGACCTGTTCAATTTCACAGTATTTTTTGAGCTAGTTATTCTAGTCATAGTATATTGTAGAATTTTGTTTGCATACATATATGTGTGAGCATGCACACCCACATGTGCAAATATGTATTATCTTTGATTTTAGTGGTTTAGACTAGCTGGCTGGGTTTTCAGAAGTTACTTCTCTGCCAAAGATGATATAGCCTCCACACCCTTCAAATTTTAAAAATTTGGTCTTATGTTCCTTTAAGTCACCCTCTCTAGAAAGAGTTAACTAAACAGAATAACAGTTGTTATTGGCAAGGGGCTGCAGCAGCCCAGTAAACCAGACAAGCTTAGTTTTTTACTAGCCAAAAGTAAGGTTTTTGTCTATTCTGACTAATGATGCTACTAAATTTACACGTATTCCTTTTGTTTCCTTGAATTTTATCATTATATTTGATTAATAATGATTTGATCATTATTACTGTGGTTAGTGTGTGAAAGTGAAATCTTAAAAATGATCAGTGTAATCTCTGAATACATTTGTTGATTTTTTTTTTATCTTTCCATTCAAGATAAACTTTCCTTGGAAGGAATAGTCGTACAAAGAGCTGAATGCCGACCTGCTGCCAGTGAAAACTACATGAGATTGAAGAGGTTGGTTTTTTTAACTTTAAAATACCTGATATTTCCTTTTGGGGATTGAAATACATATATTAGATTGCTTATTGACTACATTAAAACTATAGTTATGTTGCAAGTATTGTCTTCAGAGTTTCTTTGGTTTTAAAACTAAGGTCCCCGGGATATAATGTACAGCATGGTGACAATAGTTCATATTATTATTTTGCATATTTGAAAGTTGCTGAGATCTTAAAAGTTCTCATCACGAGAAAAACTGTAACTATGGTGACAGTTAACTAGACTTACTGTGGTGATCATTTTGTAATGTGTATAAATTTTGAACCATTATGTTGTATTCTTGAAACTACTATAATGTTATATGTCCGTTATACTTCAATTAAAGAAAAAACCCAAGAACAGTTTCTTTGGCAGGAGAACTTTCACAGCCTGAGCTGTTTATTTGGGGATATTTTAAGCTACTCTCTTAAGATAACCTGAAACCAAACTTTTTATACTTCTTTTTTCTAGTTATCTTTAAAGATCTTAATTCTCTAAAGATATGTAATAAGATATTTGTACTGTTTTATTTTCAGAGGCTATAATTTTCCTGTAATGAACATGTCTAAATTACTATACAGGATAAAGCAAGTAATAGTTGCTGGAATATCATCCTTTTCTCTTGATTACAAGAACTTTTTATAAACTCACTGCCTTGTTAGAGATTTTGCATAAGGTCTTCCCCACTGTGGTATATAGTTAACATTTTACAATTAATACTGAGGGATGATCGCAAATTCTCAGTAGTCCAAATTTTGTCTTTCAAAGAGCAATTTTTTCAACGCCGAAAAATGGAATATTCTTGTTTTACACTTTTCAAAACATTTTTTATTTTAAGTAAACTCCATATCACCTATGGGTCTCGAACTCTCAACCCTGAGGTCAAGAGTCACATGCCCTGACTGAGCCAGGTGCCCCTTGTTTTATGCTTTTTATTGAATGTCTTCCAACCCTATGTAGTTTAGAATTATAACTTTGTTCATTCATTCAGCACTTACCGTGTGAAAGAGGAGTGAACAAAACAGGCAAAACTCGCTGCCCTCGGGGAACTTACATGTTAGCAGATGTCAGCTGTGCACAGCACATAGCGGGGGGCACACTGTGCAGGCGGTAGCAGCAGCCTCTCTGCACATCAGCGTTCTCACCATTTAAAGTGGCTGCTTGAGCCACATCCTCTCTAATGTCACACTATCTTTTTAATTTCCCTACCTTCTAAATTAGATTATTGTGTGTCTCTCAGGAATGAAACAAAAAGACTGGTTTTTTTGTCCAATAATTCTTCTCATTTAAATGCCTTCCCAGGGCAAGTAAAAGGATGACCATCAAAATGACTTTTTTATGACAGAAAATAACTTTGGAGCATAGACAGAAGACATTTCTCTCTTTGGGTATGGCAATAAAGTTGAACACACGATGTGAGTCTTTTTGAAGACTCATCTTCAAATAACTACTGAAATTTGAGAATCCAAAATCTGGTTATTTAGCTGCTTGCCAAGCTCTTTTTTTGTGGTCCTAATTTTCTCTGAAGGTTTCTAAAGCTTTTTGATGATGCGATTAGGCAAGTCATCTGTTGTGTTAATGAAATGGCTGCTTTTTTCTGATCCAGAAAGATAGGAAAATTGTTTAACCTTTTGACTCTTGCTAAAAGACCAGCCATTACATATTTCAGTTACTTACGTGACCTACGGAAACAGTGATTAAGGAGATGATAATCATGTGAGTTTCATAAAGTAGGTGATACGGGACATGAGTTGAATGTTGAGATTTTTTTGATCAAGTGCAAAAGGAGTAAGAACTCTCTAAACAGAGAGACATGCATACATAAAGACTTGAGTCCTCTCTCACACCCCACATCCAATGTGTCAGAAAAATCTTACTGACTGTTCCTTCAAAATATTACACATCTACATTCTGACCGTCTCCCCCCACCCATGTGCCGTGCCGTCGTTATTTCTCACCTGGATCACTGCAGCAGCCTCCTAGCACACTTTCTGCTCCGGTCATTGCCCCACTGTGGTCAGCTGTCGGCACAGTTGTCAGACCAGTTCTCGGATCTGTCAAGTCATGCCATTCCTTTGCTCCTGGGTCACTTCCAGTGCTTCCTCTATTACTCAGAATAAAATTTGAGTCCTCACAGTCACCTGCAGGGATCCACATGATCACCCTCCTGCTCCTTCCCACTTCTCCCCATCCTTATATCCTCCAACTTGCTCCCTTCACCTACTCACCCTGACCTCCTCCAATAGTCATGAGCACTCCAGGTACTTCCATATTAGGGCCTTTACACCAGATTTTCTTTTCTGCCTGTAACATCCTTTCTGCAGGTAGCTGCAGGCACTCTGCCTTTTTTAAGTCTCTTCTCAGATTCTGCTTTTCCAGTAATGCCTACCCTGACCAACCTACTTCTTTCTATACTTGTATTTTCTTATAGTCCATATCACCTCCTAATATACTATATAATTTACTTATATTTATTGCCAACTTTGCCTTAGTGTAGTTTAAACTTCCATGGTTGATTCTTTGGTGTGTGGGTATGTGCTCACACGTGTACACAATCATCTGTTACACACATATACCCAAGTGCTTGGAATAGTTCATGACATGTAGTAGGTACTACATATCTGTTCAGCAAGTTCATGGCAGGAGATAAGGTTTAAAATGTGAAATACCTTTATATTCTTGCTAAATTATTTGTTAAAGAGTCTGGGTTGTGGTACGAAATTTGGACTTTGTGTTGTGGCTATTAGGGAGGCACTGAAGGATTCTAAGCGGCATGGAAAGCAGAGGGATTTGTTTTGGATAAGCCATTCTGGCCACAATGTAGCCTGAAACCAGGGAGATAAGCTAGAGATGGATGTAATAACCCAGGTACAAAATGTCTGAATGACCAAACATTAAAGTGGTTCTCTTCAGAAGGGAGATGAAAGACTAGGTTTTGAGGATATTTGGAGGTAGAGTTGAGAGGATTTAATGAACTCATCTTCTACTTAAGTGGTTGTGGGACAGGGAATTTCTCTAGAGCCAGACTGATGGTGGGTGGCTTGGATGCACTTCTGCTACGAATCCTCAGACTGATTCTGTACAACAGAACAGGATGGTAACACTGATGAAAGGAGGTGTGAGGCTTTATAAACCCCATGTCCATTTTAATTTAAATCCTGGCTGACAGTTTACATAAAAACCTAAAAAAGCAGAAAGTACTTGAACTGCAAGAATAGTGATGGGTAAATTATTAAAATAGGAAAGTAACATGAGTCATAAGTTGTAGCTCATGTATAGTTGACACTTGAACAATGAAAGGGTTCGGGTGCCGACCCTTTGTACAGTTGAAAACCCATGTAGAACTTTTGACTTCCCCCAAAACAACTACTGATAGCCTACCGTTGACTGGAAGCCTTACAGATAACATAAACAGTTGATTAAACATATTTTATAAGGTCTGTATATTATTACTGTATTCTTGTGATGAAGTAAGCCAGAGAAGAGAAAATGTTAAGAAAATCATAAGGAAGAGAAAATATATTTACAGTGCTGTACTATAAAGTATCCATGTATAAGTGGACCTGTGCACTTGAGACTAGTGCCATTCAAGGGTCAACCTGTATTTTGTTTATTGCCATTCAACATTTTCAAATGCCAAATGTGATCACTGAGGTAAGGCTCAATTTTAAAAAATCACTAGATACTGCTCTTGCTCCAGAGAATTTACTGTTTGTAACCTGAGGGAAAACACACACACACACACACACACACACACACACACACACACACACACACGCGATTATCTAAAAGATCTATTTACTGCTGATACTGTAGGAGGCATAGAATGTGGTGGTGCTGGGGCACCTGGCTGGCTCAGTCGGTTAGTGTCCGACTCTTGATTTCGGTTCAGGTCATGACCTCACATTTGTGAGATCGAACTCTGGGTCATACTGTGCACTGGCAGCACAGAGCCTGCTTGGGATTGTCTCTCTCTGTCTGTGTAGAACTTTTGACTTCCCTCTAACTAACCCCTCCTTCCTTCCCTCCCTCCCTCTCTTTCAAAATAAATAGACTTTAAAAAGAAATGTGGCACTATTGATCAAACAGAAAGGCAGATTTCCAGATGTAGGAGATCTCAAAGTAGAAATGTTTGAGAGCAGACCTGGCAGTTCAGTACCTAAGATACACTGGCCCTGATATTCACACATATGGTCAAAGTTTTTCAGGGCCCGCTGACTGCCTGGTCCTTAATGACATTCAATTGTTTGGATAATCTGGCTTTAATTTTAGCTGTTTTACTTTCGACAGACATCAGCTAGTTCTGTCACACTGCATGTTGTTATCCTGGCTGTGCTGGGCACTTTAAAATCTTTATGCTTGGGGCGCCTGGGTGGCTTAGTCGGTTAAGCGTCCGACTTTCGCTTGGGTCATGATCTCGCGGTTCGTGGGTTCGAGCCCCGCGTCGGGCATTGTGCTGACTGCCGGCTCAGAGCCTGGAGCCTGTTTCAATCTGTGACTCCCTCTCTCTCTGACCCTCCCCTGCTCGTGCTGTCTCTCTCTCTCTCTCCTAGAAATAAATAAAACATTAGAAAAAAAAAAATTTAAAATCTTTATGCCTTTGTTACGTGCTGCGTCCTATACCTAGAATGCCTTGTCTCACTTCTGCCAAGATCCTTCTGAGCTTTTAAAACCAACCCAGGTGTCACTTTACTCAGTGAAACCTTATCATGTCTTTCATTCCCCACTCCAGTTAGGATCTGCCATACCCTTTTCCACATTCCCACATACTTATTTTTCTTTAATGGTATAAATAAATGTCTGTGTTCTTTTTTCCTTTTTCTTATTTTTTACATTTATTCATTTTTGAGAGAGACAGAGCGTGAGCTGGGGTGGGGCAGAGAGAGAGAGAGAGACACAAACAGAATCTGAAAGAGACTCCAGGCTCTGAGCTGTTAGCACAGAGCCTGACATGGGGCTGGAACCCACAAACAGTG